AATAAGATAATTTTTATAGAATAATTGTAAAATTAATTTTAATATTCAGTAATGTTTTTCTAAGTTATATAATTAAATATAGTGAATGATCCAATTTCTCTTCACGTCACGATTTCTATTCACTGGCTTCTTTCTGTGTTATTTTGTACATAATTACAAGCCAGTGATTAGAAATTGAGTATTTACTGTATATCATTGAATACCGCATTTAGTTTATTTCTCCCTTGATTACTTCAGTCACTGACTTCACTACTTTCTCTAAATTAGGAATTGTACACAGCGAAGATTTGATTATGCTCGGCAAACACTAACGTCCTAACACGCGAAGGGAAACTTACTTACGCGAGGCAGAAGAGAAATGCACGACTATCATTGCTAGCGTAATGTGTTACGTGTTTAATGTTACAGGGTTATTCGTGCGTTGATTTATTGAATGCTGGCATGAGAGACAGCGGAGTCTATTACCTTCAAATTCGCGGGACGACTTACTGGTTTCTAAAAGTTTATTGCGAACAGGACGTCGCCGAAGGGGGATGGACGGTAAGAAATTCGAATCTATTCTACATCCTTTCATCATCAAACTAACACAATATTACATATTTGAGCCTAAAGTCCCCTAACTCCACTTATCCAAAAAATCAAGCTAGCTATTTTAATATGTACATTTCTACNACCCTTAAATATCTCAATTTAAGTATAAACGGATTTAGGCCATTTTAAAAATAAACGGCTCATTTAGTTATTTATGATAAAATATGTGATTTCGATAAACATTAAAGTATTCATTCAGCTTTCGATATTCTGAATTATTTTATACATTGCACATAGCATTTAACATTTCTGTACAAAATTTTTACGTACATACGTGAAAATATGATTTTCTATTTCTATTTAGGTGATTCAAAGAAGGGACGACTTCGGCGAACCGAGAGAAAATTTCAATCGGGATTGGGCTGACTATAAAAACGGTTTCGGCGACCCCGCCAGGGAGTTCTGGCTCGGGAACGAAAATATATACATGTTAACGAACAACGAAGATTACATGCTTCGAGTGGAGCTCGAGGATTTCGAGGGTAACAAAAGGTAAAGAGATAAACGTGATCGATCGGCGGTCGCACCTGATATCGCGCACGTATTCTATTTTTCAATCACGATAACTAGTCGAACCAGTTTGCAAATTCATATAACACGATCAGCCAGTGTCCTCTAACATTTAGAAATGTCACCGGGTACTTTCTAGGTATGCCCAGTACTCTCACTTCAAAATCTACTCGGAGGGAGAGTATTACAAATTGGAGATCGATGGCTACGATGGGAATGCTGGTGATTCGTTGAATGACCCTTGGTACGGTTCAAACAACAGCCCCTTCTCCACGTACAACAGGTAACAATAATTTATAAGAGACGAGTTAAAATTGAGATTCAATTTGATACAATATGGATAAATCAAAATGTCGTGTATTTAACACTAGATTGCCTAAGGAAGTCATTTTGACTGCTTTTGGGCAAATGTACAAATAATAATGCATAAATTATTTTTTTTCCCAAGTGAAGTAAATTTTTTTNCATAAATTCTACCAGCTTGTTTTCATATTTATTGATGATCGAATTCCTTCTATCCGATCTTTTGCAAGTGTTATTTAAAAATCACTAACGTTTTATAATGAGCATTAAATCATGACAATTTTTTTTAGTAGTACAATTATTGATTGCAGAAAAAATTGCAGAAATCCACTTAAGGTCGTATGAACCCTTACATAAAAACAATGATAAAGCATTGAAATTTCGATTTCATTTATAAAAAAAATATGAATGCAACAATTACAGAATTTTGCAAGTTTGCATAATTCTTAATACATGATTTAAGAATACTTTAAAATTGTAATAACGTCAATTTCGTGGATATTATTTACTATATACAATAAAAAGTATGCAAAAGTAAGAATTATAAGACATGTAAACAATTTAGATAGTTACAAGTCACGTATAGTCCAATAAAAAATGCCATAACTACGTATTAGTCCATTAGAAATTCCTTATAACCGAGAAAAACAGGAAAGAAACTTTATTACATCTCTGTAATTATAATTTTTTCTAAAAGTTCATTACTTCAAATATTGGACACGTTGTGACGTACAGAAAGACATAG